ATCAGAATGTAACCTCAGAATACCCTTGCACTCCTGTTTTAATGCAGAACAGAGAAGTTAAGTGACTTGCTCTATGTCATACAGCAAGTCAGCATCAGACTCAAGGATGGAACCTAGATCTTCACAATCCTAGGCTTGGTCTTTGACCACATCCTCCTCCTCAATGCTTCTAAGCCTTTTGCGATACCTCAATATAACGATCAATAATTTATATGTACTTTTCCTCAAAGCATTTCCACTGGCCTCTAAATCAGTGGTGGTCCACTAGGGTTCTATGTGTGGCCCATGAGACATAGTTTACTGTTGTCCATGCACAGGGTTGCCAGATTTTGCTGGTTTTTATCCGTGTAGTTTTTTTTTCCTACCGGTATTACAAAAGTAACATGCACTTAAGCAAGAGAACATGAGGTGAGATGTGTGCTGATGGCTCTCACAATGTTGCATGCAGCATGCTCTCTCTCCATCGAATCAAACTGCTACTTTGGGGTCAATCAGCAAACTCCCCCCACCCCAAATACGAGGGATACACAAGTGCAGTTAGCGAAACTACCCTATGCCAGGAAACGATCCTGGCTACAACAATCTTATGGCCCACTTAGATGAAAGAGGGCCACTCATACAGCACTCAACTCACAAGTCTAGGTTGCCCTCATTATGCTAAATACTTCTAGACATGGTAGGAAGATCTCAGGCCTTAAAATACAAAACATGCAGATTATATTTGTGACCAATCTCTCCTGAACTGCTAAAATTCCTCGATCCTTAGTTTTGAAGTTGATAATTCCAGGCTTCAACTGTCATAAAGTTTTACTAACTAAGTTTTGGATGTACCAGCTGCTAAAATCACAATGCAAATGAAGCGTGGAAGGGAGCAAAACAGACATCAGAATGATGCTGATAACCCGAATCGCTATGGAAATAAGTTAATGTTGTGTATCACTGGAAAAGTCACTGGTCACTCAGTCTAGCAGTGTTTTTTCAGTCCTGCATAAGGTAAACAGTTAAATGGTTACCCGGTAAGAATTGCCCTTAATGGGTGACATGTAATGGTTAACTGGTACCTGGGAACAGCTTCCTGCCTCTGGCCAAAGGGCTGTTCCAGGGCACAGGCTGCTCTAGTTCAACCCAAGCGGGCAGGCAGGGGAAGGCCTGCTCCAGCCCTGCTGGAACAGCCTCCCCCTCCTCCCGCCTAGCCTCCTTTAATTCGTTAAATATAGTGCCAGCACGGCATTTAACCAATTAAACAGGATTTTACAAGAGGGTGTCTTGCACATAGAGGTCAGTGTAATTTTCCAAGGTCTATCTTTGCCATACTGGTCTCTGATTTAAGTATCTTCAGTTGTTTTTAAATTAAAATCAAGATAGTGATATTCCTGTAAAAGCACAGAGAAAACTGGCTAACATGGACTAACCAAAGAGAACATACTTCATGAAAATGTTTAGAGGTGGCCATGAATTAACAATATTCAGATGAGAGAGTAAAAGTCTTTGAAGAAAGGAATTCACTTTGTGGTTGCCTGGAGGACGGGAAAGGTGCTCAGTCTATTTATGACTCGTATTTACTTTGAGGGTTAACTATTGTCTCCCAAGCTAGCCAATCAATAAGAGCATGGCTGAAACTGCTTGAAACCACATTGATTTCAGTTGTAAACTGAATAACTGCTGTACAAACTAACTTTCTTTTTCACAGGCATTTCATTTGCTGTCATTCTTTTGACTTATTTGAAAAGCTCCAATACTCACAAGGCTCTGGTTGACAGGGTAAGGTCACCTGATGTTTTTTAATGCCATCAAACAAGAGCTCTGCTCCACCTCTGAAATAAAAAGAGAGCGAACAACTCATTCTTTGTCTTACTCCCAAGAGACAGAAATTATAAGGCTTACAATGCAAAAGAGAACAGAATGACACTGATTACATTTTGAGGAGGATCACTGTCGGTCTTTTGTCTATTTGGACTAGGAACTGAATCTTACTATTAGTTATTTACATTGCTACCAGGACCCACTGTGCTAGGCACTGCACAAACTGAGGACAGAAAGAGGTCAGCTCTTTGAAGCAGGGAACAATCTGCTTGCATAATGGGGCCTCAACCTTAGTCAGGGCCCCTAATCAGTGCTGTAATACTAATATAATATTATAAACTTACATGATCCAATACCTTGCCCGTCTATAACATTTATTTCAAGGATCCCAAAGTACTTTATTGACCTCATAATACCCTGTGGAATAGGGTATTATCCCCAGTTTACAGATGAGAAGAAACTACTCATGTAAGTCAGAGGCAAAGCCAAGAGGATAATCCTGGAGCCCTGGTGGTTCCCTTTTGGTCTAACCGCTACACAGCTCACCCTCCCAACTCACCCTCCATGTTACAGCAGAAACATGGCAATGTGAGAGGCTAGCAAAACGAAGGATCCCACATGCAAGTTGTACAAAATATCACTCACCACATTCTCTACCCTTGCTCCCTGCAGAAAAGGACAATTCAAAGCCTGTGCCCTGATATTTAAACACTCCCAGAGACACTGTTTCTCCCTCTGGGACCTTTATGATCCAATCTGCCAGGACAGTTAAAACATTGACCAATAAACACAGGCTGGTGAGTGTAGAAGGCAACTTTCTCAAGAACGGATCCCAGACTATAGCAATTTAGGATTTCAATGGTATTTGGGTACCTAACTGCCTTAGGCCTCTTTGAAAAAAAAAATCACAGACTAAATGCAACATTATTTCTATGACTTAGACTCCCCTCAAATTCTTCTGTGAAGAAAATATGATTCCACTTTCCAGCCTCAATCAATGCACTTCTTGAGAATATAGGACTGTAAGAACCCTCTGTATGAAAAGGGTTATCAAAATGGACCGTAAATTCCAGCCTTACTCATGAATCTGCCACTAACTTATGTGTTGCCAATTTTCCCATTTATAAAACAGCAGACAATTAACTAATCTCAGGGATGTAAAAAGTTGGTTAAACAAGGTAACCGTGTAACCACTGAAAATCTTAGCAGTTACATGCGCTGCAGGTTTTGCAATATAAAGCTTAAATAAGCTTTATACTTCAGTGAAGCCTTCCCAGGAGTGGCAGCTCCTCTGTGGCAGGGCTGCTATAGCCCCTACACTTAACCAGAACTAGTAAGCATGAACGTTTAGGATGATGCTTACTGGTTACTTGGTTGGTTAACCTTTCACATCCCTAATCTTAGTAACGTGTTTGAGGATTCATTGTTTATGAAGTGCTCTGTGCTGAGGAGAACTTTAAAAACAGTACCTTCTTACTGATTTGATGACTCACTGCCATAGCGGTACCTTGCTCAAAAGCACAGGCTATCTGAAGGGGTAGCCTCATTAGAAAAGGCAGAGATACTGGCTATGCTGCAAAGGCACCACAAGGTATTTTCCATGACTGATTTATGAAACAGTCCATGAGATTATCCTGCACCCAGCAGAGCACATGACCATCCAACTGGTAAGGTGCAGTAGAAAGTTTGTACGGAAATAGCAAGCTTTCAGGAAATCAAAACAACAGTTTAATAGTCCTTGGGATTTTCTAGTTAGGGTCTCTGAAAAGGAGGGGGAACAATGGGTTTTCTATTGATTACAGAAAGTTTAAGGTTGTCTTGGTTCCTGATGCATATCATATACAAAGAGCATGCTAGATACTATAGGCAAGGCAAAGTTCCTGAGCATCCTACACAAAGTGGTATTGTCAAATTCCCTTGGACAATGAAGTGCAGGGAAAAAGTCTGCCTTTGGGCATGTCTTCACTACCTGCCAGATCAATGAGCAGCCATTGATCCAGCAAGCGGGGAGGAGGGGGACTGATTTATCATGTCTAGCATAGACACGATAAATCAACTGCTGAGCACTCTCCTGTTGACTCCAGTTCTCCACTAAAACAAGAACAGTAAGGGAAGTCAACGGGAGTGTCAGCTGTCAACTTACTGAAGTAAGTAGATCTAAGTACGTCAACTTCAGCTACATTATTTGCATAGCTGATGTTGCGGAACTTATATCAACTGGCGTGTAGACTAGGCCTAAGTTACTGATTCAGGATTTTAAGCTCAAAATGTTATCTTCTGGGTTAACTGCAGCAAGGGAGGTTTAGGTTGGACATTAGGAAAAACTTCCAGTCTGGTTATTTAAGCACCGGAATAAATTGCCTAGGGAAGTTGTGGAATCTCCATCATTTAGACAAACACGTCAGGGATGATGGTACTTGGTCCTTCTGACACAAGTGCAGGGGACTAGACTTGATGACCTCTAGAGGTTCCTTCCAATTCTATTATTCTATCCTACGGATTCTATTACTCAATGCAGAAGCCACATTGCAAAAGCTTGTGAACCAGGTGTTAGTGGAGTTACAGGATTTTGCTTGAGTTTATGTAGATGACATTGCTATTTTCAGCAATTCCTGGTCAGATCATAAAAACCCAGTTGGGAATTGTACTGAAGAAACTCAAAAGATGCTAGTGTCATAGTAAAAATGTTCGAGTGTAAAATGGATGCAACCAAAGGTTATTTGAAAGAGAGGGCCAGATTTGCCCCAATCTATTGAAGGTGTAATTCATTGTTAGTAGGGTTGCCAAGTGTCCAATATTGAACCAGACAGTCCGGTATTTTCGCCTCCTGTCCGGTAAAAAAAATTCAGAAAATACCGGACACCTAAAATGTCCGGTACTTTCTGATTTTTTCCTGGCAAAAATCCCGGGCTGTCCGGCTCAATACAGACACAGCCTGGCAACCCTAGCGCTTACCAGGTTCTGCAGGGGAGCTGTCTGGCCTGGCACAGGGAAGTAAGATGGCAGGCAGCTGCCGGCAGTCTGTTAGGGCAAAAAAGCCTCACCATGTTGTTTTTAAAGGGGCCATGGTGTGGGGTTTTTTGTTTTGCTTAACAACTCTCTACTCTATAGTATCTAGCATGCTCTTTGTATATATTAAAAGGCAAAGAAAATATGGTGGCAATTGCATTTTCCAGACAAGAGTGCTCCAAACTGATGCATATGGATTAGCCAGGGGCTGATCTTATGGCACTGATGTAAGGAAGGTGACCCCCAGTGACCCTCTTGATGTCAACTGACAGAGGAGATGCATAGGGTTTGCCAGGGATCTAGTAGGTCTGGTATAGGCATAAGAATTTACCAAAGGGTAATATATAAGGTGCCTCCCAGGAGCCAGTCATTGCTGGTCATCATAGTCATCGCAAAAGGTATGGACAGGCAATATTTAAGATGCCGTAACTAAATTGAAAATTTAATTCTTAAAGCCCTGAAGTTAAAAGTAGGTTACCAGTCGGTGAAAGGCGTTGAACAGATTTTGTTCAGACAGGTAGCAAGCAATATACGTTTCTCTCCCTATCTGGTCAGATGCATTGTGCACTGTATTTACAGGCAGTCCCTGGGTTACGTACAAGATAGTGACTGTAGGTTTTTTCTTAAGTTGAATCTGTATGTAAGTCGGAACTGGCATCCAGATTCAGCCGCTGCTGAAACTGACCAG